CAACCATTCTCTCTTCAGTCACAATCATCCAGAGAAGAAACAAGAGTTCTTCTCTATTTATGCCATTTTTTTTTAAACAGGAAAAAAAAAATTCGTACATATCAGGTTATTCAAGAGAAAGATTCCCTGAACTGGTTTGGGGTCTCTCCTAGCCCCCAGTCCTGTCCTTTTTGCCAAATCACATCCATTCGTTACAGTATTCCCCTATAGACTGGAACTAATTTACAACACTCCCTGCAGGAAAACCTGTACTTGCTAAGAGCTTCAAATCACACGGCAGGGGTTTTAAAATAATTATTAAGACTGAAACTGACTGCTATGGGGAAGCCGAGATTCATTGGATCCGCGGTTTCAGGTTTAGAATGGAGTGGCACTTGGCCAATTGTAGCTTATTGAATAGGTCATGGTTAAAGACAGCAAGAGTGGGTGGGACCCCAAATCTATATCACCCCAACAGATAGCTGGCTTAACTAGAGTTGGCTGCCTCAGCAGCATCTAACCACACTCCAAAATAAATAAAATAAAATAAAAAATAGATACTTGGTTGATACATAGGGCGCTAGCAACAAGCCTGTATTAACCATCAGAGCCAGTCAATGATAAGTATGAACCAGTTGCCAAAAATCTTAATTTTGATCACACGATCCTAGGAATGCTATACAGGTAATAAAATATGAAAAATGGCCATAAGTCACTTTTTTCAGTGCTGGTTGTAATTTTGAACAGTCACTAAATGACCTTTGTAAATCGAAGACTACTTGTATTATGTGTGAGAGAAAGAGGGTGAAGACAGCCCCTCCCTAATAGTTCCCAGAGTATTGTAGATGCCGATAGTAGAGTCCTCAGCCTGGCAAGTTTTTGTATATAGGCGTAAAGCAATAAAGGACTCAGCTTGGAAGAATCACCAAGTGTTATTCTTAGTTTTGAGCCTGGCATTACTCTTGTCAATCCGTGACCTATGATCATTCTGTTTCTCTGTTTAGATCTGTATCTTCTATATATATAAAAGCAAAATACCACTCAGGCATCATCACAAAATCTCCAGAACCGTAAAGCCTACAAACTTGAAAATAGGGCCCGTGTGTTCCTCTTGGCTTCTAGGTGCTAAGAAAGGATTTTTCGAAATGGCCATCAGTGCATTAGTATTTCGTATATTATTATCATTAACACGCTCTGATGCTAAGGAGTTTTACTCCTCCTCCCCACCTGAAAAGAAATCTATTCCAAATGCAAAACACAAGCAGAGGAGAGGAGTTTGTTTCAGTTTCAGAGCAGCAACCAGCTTTAGTACAGAACAGTTGAGCTAAGCCATGCCCAGGCTCCTTGCTGTTTCCTTCTTGCTCACCCAGAAAATACTGTTTCAGTTTCCAAACAGCCCTCAACTCTCTCACACACTGACAGGATGCTAGCCAGATGAATACCAATGGATGCTGGTAGGCAGGCAGAATTTCCCCCCCTTATTTTCCTCCTGAAAAAATAAACCCGATCGCATAGTTTTGTAGTGAAGCACGGGTATCCAGCTAGTAAGGAAATATAGCTGAAATGACTCAGTGATGTTCTATCCTATTTCTTCAGCTCTTCCAATGGTGCCCTCCTCACTAAAGTGACTAATCCTAGACCTGATCCTAACTCAATTTTCCTCACTGAGCCTGCAATACCTGAGTGAACCTTCAGGGATAATATGTCTATATGTCCATTAGATTTCTGTATTTCCATAAAACCATATTCAGCCACCAGAAGGCGGTATGTCCTATAAAAGCAGTACTTTCCTTTGTGCCTGTAATCCTCATGTGAGCCACCAGAGGGCAATATGTACCAAGGATTCAATATATTGTATATTTTTAAAATGTGGAGCTTGCAATACCTGTGATTCACTAGTGGTAGTTATGTGCTATACCTTCCATGCATTGTTCCTTTTGTCCTCTTGATTCTGCAGTATCCCAGTTACTACTTCTACCTGGGAAAAACGGGGGTGGGTGGGTGGTGGGTGGTAGTCAATATATAGGACATACTGCCCCCTTATGGGTGAGTTTGATAGCACAACCTCAATAGCTAATTATATAAAAAAATAAACAAGTAGTAAAATACAATAGCATTCCAATGATGTGAGGAGGCATGATCCCATGTCACATCACCTACAGATTATCAAATACCTTACCGTAACAGCTCTCCCCAATCAAAAAGTTTTATAAATCAGATATTCCAACTACGTTCATAGGTAATCATAGACTTAAAATGAATATAAATGAAAGCAAACATAACAAATATGAAAATATTCAGATGGATTTCCATGAGATTCCAAGATGGTTCTAGATAGTCTTTAAGATTCTTTCAAGGGATACTGTAGATGAAAAAACAAACCACGATTAAACCTTCAAATGTAGAAATTTTGATTCTAAATTCCAGATACTGTAGATAAAAACAGAGAACGCTTAAACCTTCAAACCTAGAGATTTTGTTTCTAAATTCCAGATCTTGGCAATTAAAATAGAAAAGTATCAACATTTCTGTGCTGCTTTCAAGCTTCAGGATCAGAATTAAGACCGAGATTATATAAGTAAGGGGTTTAAGTTTGAAACACACATTGCACACATTAATTTAGTGGATTATTAAAACAATTTTACTTTTAAATTGACAAAAGTGGAAGACAAAGCAAGCTGAAAGTGAAATGGGAACGGCTAAGAAGCATGGATTTTAATTTGTGGGATGGTTTTCTTAAAAAATAGAAACTGACAAGGGTATCTTGAAGGTTGTTTGAGTGGAATTTACTGGTGCTCAGAACAAGGTGTTGTACTCCCCTCTACTGGTTTCATTGAAGAAGAAAAATCAAATTTATCAAGAGGAAAATGATTCTGAATCTCTTTTTAAGATCACAGTCAAATGCAATAAGAAACAGAATACACAAAGAAAATATGAAAACAGGAATTATGCAAAAGCACTTCTATATTTACAATAGGAACAAAAAAAGATTTAAATCTCTATTCAATGCTAAACGTATTGGATAAATACAGACCAGTTGTTATGAAAATAACTTGAAATCACTGGAAGGATAAAATATAATGAAATACATGTTGTAGTGATGTTCTCCTTTTGAAAATTGGCAAACTGTTCAACATTTTTCTTAAATCTAATTTGTAGTCATATCTATGTGTACATCATCTTATTTAGTAGATTATGTAACTTAACTGCAGTCTCAAGTCAATTTTTTTAAAAATATATATTTAAAAATGTAACACCTAATAAAGTCACACTAAACAAGTGCTTTAAACATAAATATTCTTCCATTCTTTCGTATAAACTGGTAACTGAAAACCTGTAGTTATCTGACTCTCCTTCACATCTAATAAAGCCTCACAAAATCAAAAAGTTTCAAAGAATTTTGCATGATATTAGGATCATTTTTAATTCAAGGAACTTTGCTTGGAATTTGGATCATTTTTAATTCTTTTGTTAAAAAAAAAACCAAATGAAAATAGAATCGTGCATCCGGACTTATGAAACTAACTTCCCACTACACACTGCTAAGAAATCAGAAATAAGTCTGTGCAGATTTATGCAGTCATAGAACAAATGGAAGAACACATTCAGAGGGACATATGTTTGTTCTCTAAGAGATAAAATGACACTGTGTCTAACCATTAGATAAAGAAACAGTTTGGGGAACAGAAAAACACGGCCTTCGCTTCCTCCATGCCATTCTGCTATGAAAATACAAGGAATGGTAGACTTCAAGATTGTAAAAATTGCTTGTTTTCCTTTATAGCACTTAGACTTACATACTGCTTTACAGTGTTTTTCAGCGCTAAATGGTTTAAGAGTCAGCATTTTACCTCCAACAATCTGGGTCCTCATTTTACCAACCTCAGAAGGATGGAAGGCTGAGTGAACCTTGAGCAGGTCAGTGTTGAACTGCCGACAGTCGGCAGAATTAGCCTGCAATACTGCATTCTAACCACTGCACCACCACAGCTTTATCTGTCACTTGCTTCTTTTTCTTCAAGATTTGTGGGCCACCCGTTTGTGGGCCTTCCCAGCTGTTCAGAATATTTTGTTGTATTAAAAGAAAAAAAAATCAATTAAACAGCTTTTACTTGCTCAGGTTTTCCTTGTGCTGATTCATGTTGAATTACAACCGACCTATGTTAAACATCCCTCCAATTTCATAAAGCTTCTCTCAGTCATTTTTACCTGGGCCCAAACTGAAGTTAAAACTCTTAGTTGTAAAAGGCTAACTGCAGCTTCACCTGGTAAATGCAAAGTGAAAGTGGTACGTTGGAGTCGTTAAATATAATTTCAACCCACAGAAAGGTATCTAACCTTCCCTGAGCGAGAAAAGCTGAAACCCTCTAAATACCAATGTGCAGGATATTTATATTTTAAAAGAAGAATAAAAATAGCACTTGGACTTATATACCACTTCACAGTGCTTTACAGCCCTCTCCAAGCAGTTTACAGAGTCAGTATATTGTCCCCAACAATCTTGAGTCCTCCTTTTACCAACCTCGGAAGGATGGAAGGCTGAATCAATCTTGAGCCAGTCAGAATCGAATTGCCGAAATGCTGACAGTCGGCAGAGTTAGCCTGCAGTACTGCATTCTGACCACTGTGCCACCAATTCTATTTCAGGAATTGTCATTCCTTTTAGTTTCAGGAGGTGGTAATTAGCCAACCTGATCTGGGCTTCCAAGTTAAGTAGGCTTAAAGGTTAAGGCACCAGGCTAGAAAGCAAGAGACCTTGAGTTCAAGTCCCGCCTTAGCCGTGAAAGCCAGATCCTCTCTTTCAGCCCAATTCATCTCATAGGGTTGTTGTTGCAGAGAAAAATAGCAGGAGGAAGGTGGGCTGGATATGTTCACCACCTTGAGTTATTTGTCAAAATAGTAAAGACAGGATAAAAATAAATAAATTTGAGAGATCACCAGGAAAACCCACGTCTTTAGGCTAGATTGGGAAACTGGAAAAACATCCCAGAAGGATGTGAGAACAAACTTCTCCTCAACTGTGAAGAAAAGTAAGTAATAATATTTATTCAGTCAATGACCAGCAACACGAAAATGGCATAGATTCAAAAAAAGTCATCAGGAATAAGAGTTTGAGTTGAAGATACCTTTATCTTACCATTTGTTTTAAGCATAGATACAAAGACAGAATTGAAGCATACTTCACGGAGTACTTCAGATGCATGCTCATGTTTGTTCATTTTCCTTTTCTGATATAATTCAGTCGATCACCCCACTCGCAGCAGAAAGCAATCACATCCAACCACACCACAATCTTAAAATGACATTTCAAACTTGATGTTTTGGTTTGTCTCCTTTACAGTATCAAGGTATCCCTCTCTATGGGAGTGTCATGTATATTTTTAAGGAAATCTAGGCAAAAGCGTTGAAAAATATTTTTTATTCCTTTGGTACTGAACTGTTGATATCAATATAAGTTTCAGGTTATAAGGACAGCATAAATATTCCTTGAATTTTAGGTGTCATGACAAGTAAGCTGGGTTTGGAAAGATTCTCCAGTGATGTAATACTGGTGGACACACACACATATATTTTATCCTATTGATAATTAATGTGACATGCTGTCAATCACAAACACCATCTTAGGGATTTAATTTCAAACATTATCCATAATTTAAAACTTGTTATATAACTTAAAATTATACAAGCTGTTCTTTCTATTTGATTACTTGCGGTGACATCCGATAAAACAGACATTTTAATCATTGAAAAAGAGATTTGCAAAAATATAACCTTCAATGTACAATACAGACTTAGAAAATGCACTTATGGCACAATACTACTGAGTTAGATGAATTTGGAAAGCACAGCAAAGGGGGGGGAAAAGAGAGAGAGGCGGGTGTTCACTAGTGTGTTGTTTAAACATCTCAACAGAAATCCTGGTTAGGCCACAAAATATGTACAGAGAATGGAGCTGGAAGCATATGTACAACGCTGCAGATCTGGCTCCCCTTCACACTTGATCACGAAGACGTGCCAGTCTTTGCGAGAGCTCGTCCTTCAGAATAGAGAGAGTTATGAATATGTGATCAAGAGACAAAACACGTTAAAAGAGTAACAAATTGAAGGGGTGGAGATCATATACAAGCAAACTCTGCAAGTCAAGAAAAGCCTGTGCCAGATAAGTGGGTTTATTACTTAAAAAAAAAAAAAAGGCTTCTGACATTTTCCAAGAACTATACAGAAGCTCAAAGTGAGCGGCCTCTGGACCTTGTAAATAAATTAAGCAGACAAACAAGGCCATACAGAAGAAATGACGCAAGGACAGGAAATCGTTTAAGACGTTAAAAAGTTGCAGGTTATTTTATTTTAAGTAATCTAGCCCCAAATGATAAGAGAAAGCCATATTGGACATTAGCAAGATATATTTAAGCATTTAAATATTAACAGTATCCCAGCCAATCTTCTATGGTAGTGTTCCCCAACTACAGCAATCCCCCAGCCAGCATGCACTATAGTATAAGGCAGGGGTCTTCAAACCTGACAGATTTAAGACTTGTGGACTTCAACTCCCAGAATTCCTCCTCCAGTCATGTTAGCTCAGGAATTCTGGGAGTTGAAGTCTACAAGTCTTAAACTTGCCAAGTTTGAAGACCCTTGGTATAAGGGGAGAAAAGAACAAGCCAGGACAGGCAATATTTACCTGTTCCGTTGAAGCAACACTTGTGCCAACAGAGCCTGTCTGTCCCTGAGGTAGTTCCATATTCAGATCAAGCCTAAAATTCAAAGGGAGAAAAATACAACCAAGCAAATTAAACGTTGGCATGCAGATACGGCATTCCATATTCCAGCAAGAAACCCCAACCATCTCACTTAAATTAAAATTAAAATTAATTATACCTGAATCAAAAGTTACACATTACACCGCACAAGCCACAATCAACCCACATAATGGTTCAATTATGCAAACCTCTACACCTGCATTACAACAGGGTTTGAGATAAGCATAGTTTGGGGGAGGTGGGGTGTAGAATCCCTTCTTGCTGCTTCTATTGTCAAATGTGGACCTTGGGAACTGATCCCAATCTTGTTAACTTATGATCAGAAAAACGTCAACATTAGCTCTGAGAGCATTATAATTCTTCCGCTTTAGGAAATATTAACAGTAGGTCATGACTTAGTTCAGTTTCCTCAAAATGCTACTTTCCAGATGTGTTGAACATCAGCACCTTTAATTCTCCAGCCAGCAAAGGTTGGCCCATGGATGGAACCAGATTAGAGGCAACAAGTTAGATCATGTTATGCCTGTCCATTTTCTCAATCCTGTGGGACTCTACTGAGCTGGAGAAAACCAGGTATTCCTTCCCCCAAACATATATTTTTTTTTTCATGCACTGCATTGATTCCAACTTTTGGTTATTCACACTTACCCAGCTTCATCAGCCATTTCTTGAAGGAGCATATCTACTTGGTTCTGAAAAGGCAAGCGTCATAAAAGACTGAATTACACTTAGGAGGGCAGCAACACAACAGAGATAATTATTGGAGATTTTGTACTGAAAGAGTTGTTGGCCATGAAAGGGCATTGTGTGGGATGTACTGCGGTCGTTACACTTTTTTTTTTTAATGGGTGGTTTTAGGATTATAGTACTTTTATTGATTCTTGTGTTGCTCCTTCAGTGCCTGTAAGAACGTTCTCAAAGCTTCACAGCAGACAATGAAATGTGAAAACTTGTCCTTTCTTGCTTCCATTTTTCAATCCTAATTAACACTATTAAGATAAAGAAATGGATTCCAACATTTTTCTCAAAACGACACTATAGAGCACTGCAAACCAGAACTAGACACAAGAACAGTTTTT